TCTGAGGAGATGAAAATCTTAACCTTCTTGAGGTTGTGAAACTCTACGCTTGAAACCCCACTCAGCAAATCCATATTATCTTCTCTTGGAAAAGAAGAGAGAACAATATATTTTGCTGAAGTAATTTTCTTTATTCACAATCCGATATATATACAGCTTGATACAAATCAATCTAGCCTAGCTTTAGGTAAGAAATCGTGATCCCCAATTAATGGGATTTGATATACTAATATGGAAACTGAATATACAAGAATATATGTACAAGATATGTATTTCTCAACACTCCCCCTCAAGTTGGAGAGTGAATATCATGAACTCCCAACTTGTTTCGCAATGTTACAAATTGATCTTTTCCCAAAGCCTTTGTAAAGATGTCTACTAATTGAAAGTGTGTAGGAACATATGAAGGACTTATCAGTTTTGCTTGCAACTTTTCTCGAACTATGTGACAGTCTAAATCAATATGTTTTGTTCGCTCATGAAAGACTGGATTCGCTGCAATATGTAAGGCAGCTTGATTGTCACAAAATAGTTTTGCAGGAGCCACATTTGAGATCCTTAAGTCTTGAAGTATATAGATTAACCATGTAAGTTCTAAACAAGTGTTCACCATAGCTCGATACTCCGCCTCTGCTGATGATCTAGAAACAACTAATTGTTTCTTTGATTTCCATGAGATAAGTGAATTTCCAAGAAAAATACAGTATCCTGTGACGGACCTTCTTGTGGCTCGACAACTACCCCAATCTGAATCACAAAAGGCCTTCAAAATAAGATTGTTTGTGGACGGAAATAACAAACCTTGACCAGGAGTACCCTTGATATACTTGAGAATTCGCACAGCAGCATCCCAATGAGGTTTTCTAGGCTCTTGCATAAATTGGCTAAGTGTCCGAACAGAATAGGCAATGTCAGGCCTTGTGACTGTGAGATAAATCAATCTACCAACTAGTCTTCTGTATTTTGTTGGATCATTCAGTACAATTCCATCTGTAGAAGTTAGCTTCAAATTTTGTTCCATTGGAAACTTTTCAGGCCTTGCTCCTAAGATTCCTGAATCTTGCAAAATGTCTATTGCATATTTTCTCTGAGACATAAAGATGCCCTTTTTTGAACGAGAAAACTCAATACCTAAAAAATACTTCAACTCTCCAAGATCTTTAATACGGAAGCGTTTGAGAAGAAACCTTTTGATGCGTTCAATTTCTTGAAGATCATTTCCTGTGAGAAGTATGTCGTCAACATAGATAAGTATTGCTGTGAATGATGAACCTTTCGCCTTGGTGAAAAGGGAATAATCAGCCTTTGATTGTTGAAAACCAACTTTACGGATAGCTTCTGAAAATGTGAGAAACCAATTTCTCGATGCTTGCTTAAGGCCATACAAAGATTTGTGAAGCCGGCATACAGTGTTCTCCCCCTGTCGGCGCAGACCTGGTGGAGGTTCCATGTACACCTCTTCATGTAGGGCTCCGTGAAGAAAAGCATTTTGGACATCCAATTGAGAAGCGAACCAATTTCTAGCAGAAAGAACTGTAAGTAGACAACGAAGTGTCGTGAGTTTTGCTGTTGGAGAAAAAGCTTCTTGATAGTCGATTCCCTCAATTTGAGTATATCCCTTTGCGACAAGACGAGCCTTATAACGCTCAATCGTTCCATCTGATTTGTATTTTATTTTATAAACCCATTTGCATCCAATGGGTTTCTGACCAACAGGGAGTGGAACTAAGCTCCAAGTCTTGTTATCTTTTAATGCTTCTAATTCAGCATTCATGGCTTGTCGCCAATGTGGATCAAGAACAGCCTGAGCATATGATGAAGGTTCTGTGTGACCTGTAATGTTAGCTAGGAAAATGCAATGTGCTGAAGATATGCGAGAGTAAGAAAGATAATGAGAAAGAGGATATCGAGTACCTGATGTTGGACTTGGCATAGCAGAAGATTGATTGGCTTGAGCTGGCAATATGTAGTCTTTATGCCATTCAGGAGTTTTTTTTTAGACGAGCAGATTGTCTTAAAAGAGGAGATGAAGGAACCACAACCTCCGAAGTGACTGGAACGGATTCAAGAGTTTCATCAGACGCCAGATTTTGAACGAGTTGGTTGGGATTGGCAAGATTATCATCTGTTATATTTTCAGATTGGGTGGGACTGCTGGAAATAATTTCAGATTGGGTAGGATTACTAGAAAAAATATCTGATTGAGTAGGATTGCTAAAGACGTCCTCTGTAATTCTAGGTTCATGAGATTCTACTCTCTGGATAGATTGTGGTTGAGGAGATGAGACATTTTTTATGACAGATGATGGAGAGGACCAATTGTCAAATATACTAGAAGAGGATTGAGGTGAGAATGAGGTCGAAGTTGGTGTAACTGAACTAAAAGGGAAGATCGTTTCAGAAAATTTGATATCACGACTTACAAAAAATTGTTTAGTTTCCAGATCATAAAGCTTATAACCTTTTTGACCAGTGGGATAACCAACAAAGATGGAGCGTTTGGCTCTAGAATCAAACTTTTGTTTATGTTTAACAACAGTAGCATAACACAAACAACCAAAAACTTTTAGGTGACTAAGGGATGGTGGTTTATGATATAGCAATTCATAAGGAGACTTAGAATGTAACAATGGAGTTGGTAATCGGTTAATAATATAGACAGCAGTCAAAACACATTCACCCCAAAAGGTGATTGGCAAGTGAGCTTGAAAACGTAAAGCTCGTGCAACATTTAAAATATGACGATGTTTGCGTTCAACTACCCCGTTTTGTTGTGGAGTGAAAACAAAAGTTCGTTGGTATTCAATTCCATGAGAGTGAAAAAATATTTTCATTGGTTCAAATTCTTTTCCATTGTCTGTCCTAATTATCTTAACTGAGGCATGAAATTGGTTTTTAGTAAATGATATAAAGGATTGCAAAATATGAGAAGTTTCAGACTTGTATTTCATAAGAAATAACCAAGTACATCTTGTAAAATCATCTACGATAGTAAGAAAGAAACGAGCCCCTGAATCAGTAGGTACTCGATGTGGACCCCAAACATCGCAATGTAATAAGTCAAATGGAGAACGAGTAGATATGTTACTCAACGGAAATGCAAGACGTGTCTGTTTAGCCAAAGGACAAACATCACAATTATTATCAAAGGAAACACTACGAGAAGGTAATAATGGAGCAATTAATCTAAGGCGAGAAGGTGATGGGTGTCCTAGACGCATGTGCCATAAATCTTTTGGTTGTGAAACTTGATGAGAAATGGGTGGTTTCTGTACTGATGACATGTAATAGAGACCAGCATGATGTTTACCCGAGCCAATCATTTTCCCCGTAGCCAAGTCCTGTAATACAAAAAAAGTGGGAAACATAAGGGCACAACAATTTAAGTCATTAGTGAGTTTGCTAACAGACATTAAATTTAATCGAAAAGAGGGAACATGTAAAACATTGTTTAAGGTAATATCTGAGTTAAAAGGTATTGTTCCAGTGGAATGAATTGATACAGGTGACCCATTGGGTAGATTGACAATGGGTATAGATGGAGATTTTGTTTGAGTAAAGAAAGTGGAATCGGAAGTAATGTGATCAGTTGCTCCGCTGTCCAAGATCCATGGCCTAGTGAATGCAGAATTAATTGAAACATTATGAAAAAGAGACAGACCTGCTGCATTTGCATAGGCATCGCTATTACCGGTAGAATTACTATTTTGCGTGAACAAACTTACTGCCTGAGCAATCTGTTGGAGTTGTTCTGCTGAAAATCCATGTGAACCATTGGAATCTTGCGAGTGAATCTCATTCTTAGATTGATGAGTGTCTATTACATTAGCAACATGAGAAGGATTACCCTGAGATCCGCGTTGTTGTCGATTATTTTGGCTTCCTGAGTTGTTGGGAGACCAAGTGCCATTTTTAAACTTACATCTATCCTCTGTATGACCTTTTCTATTGCAATGCTTGCAATGAAATTTCAGAGTGCGGCAATTCTCAATTGTGTGTCCTTCTCGATTGCAATGCTCACAATGCTTATCCTTGGATTTGTTGAAAAAACTATTGGAACGCCTTTGAACTGCAGCCGCAATAGAGAAACTTTCTGTTGATTCCGACGTCATTTGTCTCTGTGTTTCTTCTTGAATAACAAGTGAATATGCTTGGCGTACATTAGGTAGGGGAGACATCATAAGAATATTGGATCGAACAACATTATAGATATCATTAAGACCCATTAGAAATTGCATTACACGGTCTTCTTCAATTTGATCGGTGTGTGCTTTAATTTGATTGCAAGTGGGAAATGTTCGAAATGTATCTAACTCATCCCAAAGACCTTTGAGTTTTGTGAAATAGGAAGAAATGTTCATGTTACCTTGTGAGAGTGAAGCCAATGATTTTTGAATCTGATATATTGCTGGTGCATTCTTTTGAGAAAATTGATCTTTAAGATCTTGCCATACTTGGTGAGCCGTCTTGGCATGGATGACTCCTTTAGCTAGATCCGGTTCCACCGAGTGAGCAAGCCATGATAAAATCATACTATTGCATTGATTCCACAACGCATACTCTGTTGGCTTATCTATTTCTGATGGCGGTTCAATTGATCCATCAATAAACGATAGTTTGTTTTTGGCTGTGAGAGCATGTATCATTGATTTGCTCCAGGATGGATAATTGATCCCATTCAACTTGATTGGAACAAGCATGAGGCTGGGATGATCTGAATGTTGAAGAAAATATGGATTTGATGAATTCATATCGTTACTCTTATTGCTAGTGTTTGGACTTTTGGATTGATCAAGCTCTAATACCATCTTGGAAAAGAAGAGAGAACAATATATTTTGCTGAAGTAATTTTCTTTATTCACAATCCGATATATATACAGCTTGATACAAATCAATCTAGCCTAGCTTTAGGTAAGAAATCGTGATCCCCAATTAATGGGATTTGATCTACTAATATGGAAACTGAATATACAAGAATATATGTACAAGATATGTATTTCTCAACATTTGGCCAAATCAAGTAACTCAGAGCTGCAGCAGCAATTGTAGATCGGGAAATCATCTAACTGGAGACAAAAAAAAATAATCAGGACCAAATGCAGGTCAGATTAAATGTGACAAACACTTCAACGAAATGAAAAGACGTAAAAAGAAGAGATAAGTTCAAGGAAGTTTACCAGCGTATATTCCAATTCTATGCTGATTGTTTCCACATGTGGCGAGGCTCTCAAAAGACCAGCTACTCCGTACATATTAAACGTTGTCATATGCAACATCAGCGTTAAATATTTGCAATTCAATTCTGAAATGGGCGACCCTTTGAACTGCAATGTGCACATGACCTGGTGCAGTAATCCCAACGAAACTAGTAAATAATGGAGAAAACAATTACAACAAAAGGGAAGTACTTCACAACAGACAGATAGTACTTTGACAAATCTAATTGTCTAAACACAGCTCTAAGAAACATCAATATTGTAAGGACTTTCGAGTTAAAGACAAACCTGTGTGAACCAAGTTCCAATTGTTAGATCAGTTGCATAACATAACTTTTGAAAATTATCTTGGACGAGGGTATATACTACTTGATGATAGTCACGGCAGCAGTCTTCCACATAAGTACTTGGAATGCCTTTGATACAGGGAAAGCTGTAAATGAGCTTAGCATTAACTACAGAAGACACATCAATAAGCCTACACTTGAGATCTTCTCCTGATATTTCCAAATGCTGAATATACGGGGCAAGAATTTCTAAGTCATCTCCATTTCCACCCATCCGAACATAATCTTTCAACTTAAGTGTCTTCAATTTTAGGGAATTAATTTCCAGGCGATGGAAACCAGTATAGCTATATAATTCCATTGTTTCCAATGCAGGACAGCCAGACAATAATTTCACCATTTCATCATCGGTTAGCATCAAATGCCCCAACTTTATACTCTTTAGAGAGTTCCACGTTATGACCGCGTTATTAAAGCCACAATGTTTAACATCTAAAGTTATCAAGGATGAACATGTGCAGAGAGATTCAGGTAATGTGCACCCATTACTATACTGAGACCACAACACAACATTTTCCACTTCTCTTTCAACAGCAAAACTAAAACAACCACTGATTAGAATTTCATACTCAGGCCTGAAACTGCAGTCTGATAGACTCAAGTCAGTTAAGTCGAGTTTGAACTTTATAATTTTGGAAGAGAAGGAATGTGCTAATGCATTTTGAATAAAGGAGAAATCTTCTCTTTCCCGGTCAGTTGAACAAGTGAAATTAAAGCTATCAATTAAAGTTGGGAGACGCCGCCACGTTGGAGAAATTAGACAAGTTCTGAATGCATCCTTTGTTGGGAGAAGTGAGAGAATTTGAACGAGGAGTAGATCCGGCAACTTACTGATTCCTTGTGGTGCTTCTTCCTCTGTTACCTTTTGCTTCTTCAGATTTGTCATCTCCATCGGCAAAAGAGGGGAGATTGATCGATTGGTTTGTTTGTGTTTATCTCAGGCAATAAAATGCTTTGACAGATCAGTATTACCTACCACACATATATATACTATCTTAAAAGTCTAAGATTTTCAGAATTTAAATTTAAAAGTCAAAGATCTTTAGAATTTAAATTTAAAAGTCAAAGATCTTTAGAATTTAAATTTAAAAGTTAAATTACTTAAATGTCCCTCTTATAAAAACAGGTGCTGCTTCAGCAAAAGACGCATTTTTAGAAGAAGAGTTGCCAACCGTTTTTTGAAAAGTCGTAATCTTCTCGAGACAGAAGAGTTCATTGCTCAACATTGAAAGCATGAGTGGAGTGAGGATTTTACTTTTTAAAGAGATTAGTTAGTAATAGTTAATTCATGCATTGATTACTTGTGTTTCGGGTTGTCCTAATTTAGATATGAGAGGAGTTGCATACGAAAAAGTTTAATTTGTTCGGAGCAGAGCAGAGACACTTAACATAGACATGGATACTTTCAGATTTGCTGGTTCTGAAGTGTTTGTGTGCCAGGTGCTTCTACTTTGAAATCAATTTCCATTAGGCTAACCTGCAGTTGGTCCTGATAATATTATGTCTCCAATTTGTTCCTGGTGCCAATTTGAGTCAAATTATTTGGCACAAAGGGTACCCGACCTCGGGAATGTTAAGATTGTCGACTCTTCTTGGTGTGTTTGAAGGATCATTTCAAACATGGTTATGACAAACTTCTCAAAATTTCAGAGTGCAACTGTTTTGGAGAAGTTCATTATCATATCAAAGACAAGAAAGTGCGAGAGTTGTTCAATGAACTGTACCCTTGTCGTGTACCAAATGCTATGCTATTGATATTTTCTTGATTATCATCAAAGTCTTATGATTATATATATTGATGCCAAAAAACACTGAATTTCATAGAGTCATTATGACATTTAACATTATATTTCTTTTCAGGCAAAGTGAATTGAGAAAGAAGAATGCAATGGAAAAAACAGATGATCAACTGGTCTGTACAAACATTTCACAGCATTCCGTCAAATCTGAAAAGATATCGTATTTTATGATGTAGATGTTGTACATTTCTCCCTTTTGAGATAAAACTGCTCAGTATCCGAAGGATGATATTGATTAAATAGGCATTCCAAACAAACCTTGTACCTCTTCCTCGAATGCGGTTCATTTTTTCATCATATGCATCTAATATTTCATCTGATATACAATAACGATATGTTATACATCAAGATTTTAAACTGATTGTGAATCTGAAATCTGAAAGGTCTGGACTTTAAGTAAAATGATGAGCAAGTTGAAGCATGATGATTGGAACGTTGGAGTTATTTTTAAGATGCATTTTTCTGCATACTTTATAACTTTATTTCCTCTTTTGTTAGGAGACAAATATATTGTCATACAACTTGGATGGGTTTCATTAATTTTCAAGGTCTATGTAGTTAACTACGAAATTTTAATGGAATACTGATTGTTTTGAATATAGCTGAATATTTATGTGCTTGAATTCATTACTATTTTTGGATGTTAAAAGATAACATGTAATTACAGAATGTAAAATAAAAAGCAATTATAATGACCAAATTTGTTATAGCCATTGAAGGATTTTAACGACTTGAATGATAAATTTGGTTGCTAAAAAGGAATATAACATAGAATCCGATCATTACCTTTTAACGACCTGACTGAGAAAATGTAACAAACTAAACTTTGAATTGATTGATAAAGAAACTTATTAGTAGTAGATTGTGTTGGGATATATACTATTAACCACGTGTTTAGATATAGTATTTATTATAGAATAATTATTTATTTATTTTTATAGATCATATATTCGTTTATGGTGCTTGTTTACTTATATAGTAGATGATTTAGTGTATAGAGTTTAAGCTTATATACAGAGGATTAAATCATCGGTTCTTATAAGTATAAAGTTTTTTTTTGTTCACAATCTAAGATGAAAATTGGACATGTCATCGGGACGATTGTAGCACAAGATTATATGTAGTTTATCTTGATTATGGGAATGGTATAGGTTCAACTTCTTATGCTAGTGCATTTTGTATGTATTGAACGAGACCGAGTAGAGATAGTTGCTTTAGACTGACTGACAAAAGCATATTCTCTAAACTATTAAATGTACTTATATTCTTAATCCTGATATAACTATTATGATCTGTATATGTTAATCATCGTTTTGATTTATTAAACGGTGAGATTCTAAGATGGGTCAATATTCCTGGTAGATTGGATAATGATAATATATATTGGTGAAATAATAAGTTAGTTGATGGAATCCATGTCTCGGTATAGAGATTGATAATATGCCTTTTGAGAAGCTTAAAAGTTTTCATCGTGTCAAACCTTGCAAGTGGATTTAAGAATCCGACACATGAAATAAGTTAAGCAATGCTCTAAAGGAAATTGATCATTGAATTATGTTCGTCAGTAATTTAATTTATTGATTAGTATCTATAATCATAACATGGGGAATTTCGAAATATAAATAGAGGAGTGCAATTACGAATTTCTAGTGGAATGATTTGTAATTTATTATGGTAAGAATAATTCAAATTAATTATTTGGAATTATTTTCATAATAGGAAGCATCGGTAATTAATTATGTGGTCCCTACCGTGCCCATATTTATCTAGAACTCAGAATTTATTGTAAAGGGAAAAAGGAGAAGTATGTGTCTTTCTCTATTCTAAGGAAAGGGAGAAGTATGTATCTTTCTATGTTCTAAGGCAAGGGAGAAGTATATCACTTTTTCTATTCTAAGGAAAGGAAGAAGGACATGACTTTTTTCTTTTCTAAGGAAAGGGAGATGTACATGTCTTTCTATTCTAAGGAAAGACATGGTATTCCTTTTACTTGGACTAAGAAGAAATCTCTATAAATAGGGATTCTTCTAACCCTTGAAAAATAATTTTTTCCATAAAATACCTGTCCACCCAAGTATTGAGAGGGTTTGGAAGTGAACTTGGCATCACTGTAGAAGACCGTAGAACTGTGGTCTAGTTTGTGGACTAGCTTATGAATTTGCTTGAAGTCTCTAGCTTGTAGACTAGCTTGTGGATTCACTTGAAGGTATCGGCTCACGCTTCAAGAGGTAATTCTAAAATTAAATTCAGAAATTTTATATGCCCTAACATGATTGTACTTGTTCTAGTATAAGCAATGTGTTGTCTATTATTCATGTAAGTTGTATGATTTTAGTATGTTTCCGCTGTACATATAGTTTTTCCAACTGATTGTTCATCAATTCAGTAACTAGAGGAAAAATAGAAAATGGAGATTCCATAAAATAGTCAATATTATTTTGTTGGGAAAAGGGCCAAGAATATATATAAGTTAATTGGAAATGGCTAAAAAATAACATTTTCCATCTTTTGGTTTAAAAATATTCTTTACCATTGTTTTTTATTCAAAAATATCCTTCAACAGTTATTGCCTTCCTGCGCGTTGACTGCACGCCTGATACATTTTCTACGCGATAGCGCGTGTCTAAAGCCTCTTAATAGCCATCCAAAGACGTGATTCACTTTCCTAGTTCAAAAATTTGCTCTAGAAAGAAAAGCTCTCAAGTATTCAACTAATTTCTCTCAGGTTCATCCATCATTCAAGACAAGATTTGGCCATAGAATATTGATGATTTCTTCATATTAACACAAATTAATACCTTTTACCCCTGGAATCCGTAGGATTTCAAGAAAATTCACCTCTAAGGTTCAAGAAACGAATTATTGTCATGTTTTCCTCCAAAGATTCTCAAGAATTTGGAGCATATAAGGTATTTAAAACTATCATAGTGAGGGAACTAAATTCTTCCTCATGCCCTACATCTACAATTTCAATTAGTAAGGTCAAAGTTAGGATTCTTACCCCAAAGTCCTTATTTTGAATTCTTCTATTTCGAATATGCCCATTGATTGTTACATTATTGAAATCATTTTACTTATGTTGTTAGTGATCCTTGATTGATTTAGAGTTCATGTTATTCTACCACATGATACCTTTTAGCTAAAACTATTTAAAAACTTTATCATATTATATCTTATGCATTGTTTCAAGAGGTACTTCAAGAAAGTATTCTTGTTTTAAACTTCAAGTACATTATTTCAAGAAATAGTTCAAGAATGTATATTTATATAAATACACATTTTAAAGATTATGTTTTGAAAAAGTTTAGTAAGATTCATTATGAAAGTTGACGATTCTTCACACTACAATAATTACAAATATGATATATATAGCTATGAAATTATTAGCTACGACATCAAATTCGTCACCAATTGTTCATATTTAGTGACAAAATTTACTTTTTGTGCTTAAATATATGAGACACATACTTTTAGCGACGAAACATAAAAGTTCGTAGCAAACTTTTGTCCACTAAAGTTTTTCACCAAAAAATTAATTGGCACCATTTGTTAAGTAGTGTTAGTCACAACTTTAAAGTTATCAGTGACACATTATTTCGTCACTAATAATGTATCTAATTCATGACAAATTATTTTTTGTCTTAAAATTTATTAATTTTTGGACACAAAAAAATTTCAACTTAAAAAATATGTTGTTACAATATCGACAAATTAGAGTTCGTAGTTAATAATGTAAGTTTTAGCTATAAAAATTTAGATATAATTATGACATTTATTTTCGTCACTAATAGTATAAATAATTTGTGACAAAAATTTTATTGTCTCTAATCAATTTGTGATTTAGTGACAACCAAAATATTGTCACGAAATATGTAAGGTGTTAAAGAGCGATGACTTAAAATTTGTAGTGAATAATCAACTATTTGCTACGAAAAAATTCATAACTAAATACAATTTTTTTTGCTCCAATTATTCATAATTAAAAGTGACAACTTACAAAAAGAATAATGCAACTGCTTCATAAGAAATAGACAGAGTCCATTTGGTAATTGGCGAGGGAAAATATTAAAACCAACGAATTCGGTCGATTTTG